TTACTTTTGCTGACACACATTCTAGAATTCTCCTTCTTCTTCTTTACCCTCTTTTTTTCTTTTCTCTTCCTCTCCTCCATACAATACGCGCACACACACACACACACACACATCATACCTACACCCCTTGAACACCCTGCCCACTACATCCCTTCACAATCCTGGCTCTGCTGTGACCTTAAACAGGTCATTTCCCGAGTCTGTTTCCCCACCCATAAAACAGGAAAATGCTACAGGCATCCCTCAGAGACATCACAGGTTCGGTTCCAGACAGCACAATAAAGAGAGTATCACGATAGAGCCAGTCAAGGTCTTTTTTTCTGGTGGAGGGTCTTGCTTCCAATCTGTAAACACACACACACACACACCAGCTGTGAAGTGCAATAAAGCGAAACGCAGTAAAACCAGGTATGCCTGTATCTGTTTAAGATTATTGTGAAGACTAGAGGTCAAGATGGTAAAGCGCCTGGGTGCTCACAAATGGTACTTGTCGTCATTTTTCCAAAGACATCATTAGAAAAGCCAATTCAAGGAGGACTCAGGTGTTGGGACTCCAAGGAGAACAAGTGTTTTTCTTATTTTCGGCTGTGGAGCAATAGTTCTCAGCTCCGGGGCCCTCAGCATTCCTGAGTGCAGCCCAACGTGAGAGCAAAGGCATTTAGCAAAGTGATTAAAAGCTCCGTGGGGAACTGGAAAAGGAAATACCGTAATACAAAGGAGTGACTTTTGCGGGCCTGGGCTCAGGTGCCATTGCTTTTTGTTTCCTGAATAAGGAATTGCCCCTAATCGGCACTGTGAATTGTGTAGCTAATCAAGTCTCCCTCTTGGCCTTGACTGCTGGCAAACTGGAAACCAAATGTATGGCTTTCCATTGAACAACGTGGCTCTCTTGTATTTTCCTCACTCCTGACTTCATTTGATATCTCTAATTTGGCTTATTTTTTTCTCTTTTCCACTTCTCCTAATTTTTGTTCACTTGTGGGATTTTGCAAATTCCTATAATACTCTTAAATTTTCTCTTGGACAAAGAATGAATAAATAGATGGGTGAATGAGTGAGTGAATGACTAGAATCATAGAAGAGAATCTTCGAAACCATATAAAAATTCAAAGTGTCTCCTCTGCAATATCACTAACTGGGATGGTCAGTCCAATTGCCTGATCTTGATATCGCAGTGATTAGAAGTCCACCACTGGATAAGATAATCCATTCGAGCTTTGCTATAAAATCCTGTGGTTTATAGAAAGTTGACATGGGCTTCCTTATAGGAGGTAATATTAATAACAAGAGGAGATGATATTTTTATTAAAAAGGCAACAGAAGGAGAGAAAAGGTTTAAGAGCAAAATGAAATGTTAGTTTTTTTGCTCAGTGAACTACTATTACCTCCAAGTGACCTCTTTAATATTTTCTAAATACTCACAAGCCTTCTGTTCATGATTTTGCCAGTTCTCAATAAAAAAATGAGATGTGCATCAAGAAAGCGAGAAGACAACCCACCGAATGGGTGAAAATATTTGCAAATCATATATTCGATAAGAGATTTGTATCTAGAATATATAAAGAACTTCCCAACTTAATAATAAAAAGATGAATGACCCACTGTAAAATGGGTTAAGGACCTGAACAAACATTTCTCTAAAGATTTACAAATGGTCGATAGGCACATGAGAAGATGCTCGACATCATTAGCCAGCATAAAAATGCAAATTAAAACTACTACGAGATATCACTTTATACCCACGAGGATGATTGTAATAGAAAAGACAAATAATAACAAGTATTGACAAGGTGGTAGAGAAATTGGGAACCTCAGATACTGCTGAGGAATTGTAAAATGGTACAACTGTGTCCAAAACAACCTAGCACTTCCTGAAAAAGTTAAACATAAAATGGTATAAGCTAGCAATTCTACTCCTAGGCACGTATCCAAGAAAAGTGAAAACATATTTACACATTCACACACCCCCAAAATCCTTGCATATGTGTTCATAGCAGCATTATTCAAGACAGTAGAAACAACCAGAATGTCCATCAGCTGATGGATAAATAAAATGAGGTATTTCAATATAATGGAATATTAGCAATAAAAACAGATGAGGTACCGAAACATACTACAACATGGAATGACCTTGAAAATTGAAACTAAGTGAAAAAATCCAGTCTCAAAAAAAAAACCCCAAATAATGTATGCTTCCATTTATATGAAATGTCCAGATCAGACAAATATAGAGAATAGTCACCTAAGACTTGGGGGCTTAGAGACAGGATGTGTGGGGGGGGGGGGAGGTATTGGGAGTAACTATTAATGGTTACAAATTATCTCTTTTCAGGCGATGAAAATATAAAATTGACTATTTAGTATACTTTGTGAGTATATTAAGAACCAGTGAATTGTACAAATACATAAGTTGAATAATATGTGAATTATATCTCAATAAAAATGTTATTTTAAAGATGAGGTGCAGGTGCTGTATCAATCACTGTTCTTTGCTGCAAACAACAGAATGTAGTGTTGATAGTTTAGGCAGAAAGGCACTCTATTAGGGCTATTAGGAATCTCATCAATTCTCCAGGAGGGTCAGGATGCCGGTCCCCAAACTATACCTTGAGATCCCCTCCAGGGAAGCCACCACTCACCACAGACTCTACAGCTCTCACTAATGAGGTCTGGAACTGGGGCTAGTTTCCCCTTGCTGCTACTTGACAAGATTTAGGACACCTTTGTCCCCAGGACTTAAACTAAGTTTCCTCACGTTGCTTTCTTCTGAAGTGAGGTCTAGAGAGAAGCTACCTGATTGGCTGAGCATAGGTCACATGCCTGAACCTAAGCTGCAGAGGATGCTGGGAAAGTGAGTCCTGATTTCTTTCTTAAGGGGCAGGTTGTATAAAATGAGAACCACTCCAATCTAAGCGTGTTTCTTTTTATCCTCCTTTTCCTGCTTCCCATTGGATAGGGTACATTTTCTTCTGCTGGTTTATAGGTTATATATTCTATTTTTGTTATGATGGTTGTGTTAAGACTCATTTGTAGGTTTCTTTTTACAATGATTTGCTGCAGACAACTTGTGCACATCTGTTCTCACTCTGCATTCATTGGCTTCACCTCGGGAGCCTGGAATCCGTGGTGATGGGAACACTTACAGAAAGGAAATTGTCAAATGCTGCAGATCAGGGCTCCCCCTCCCTCGAAGCAGTTGTTAAACATTTACTAGCGTACCACTGTCTTTATCCCTGTTGAGATCTAAATTGTCACTACAACGAGACAAGTATTTCAGCTCAGTCCTGCCAAGTGGGATGCATGGACCTATGCTGGTCTTCAAACTGTTTATTATCAGTCTGCAATAAACACAGAAGTTTAGAGTAATTTACAGCAATTTAGAATTGTCGTGGCATCCAAAAGCATCTTACCTATATTTTAATATTTTATGAAAGTCTCAGTCGAGGATGGTTTGAAAATGTAAAACTGATCCATCATCTCGCAGTTGGTCCGGGAAGTACTGCCTTGGCTTATTCTCATTGTTCTTTGTTCTACATGCTTGCCCTCCTATTGACATTGTCTTCCCAGATACTGAAATTCTGTTTTATCTAATTGTAGATGCGTTTTTCATCAGCTTCTCGCCTCTTGGCCTTTGAAGAGCTGCTCTGCTGTCTTGGCTTAAGCCCCACTGTTCTGATTCATTGGCAGCCTCCTCTCTCAACTGAGGGGCTAGAAAGATGCACCAGAGTCAAAAACTGAAGCCAAACCTCACAAAGATTATAAAAGACCTCTCTTCTCTTTCCCTTTCCTGTATATAAAACCAAAAAGAATTTACACAGTCTTGTAACAATGGTTAGTTATCTTTGGGCGATGAGACAAAGTGTGGAAGTTGCATTCTTTTGTGTATCTTAATTTTCCAATATTTTTGACAATCAGTGTGTATCACGAGAGAAGAAGAAATCCATGCCCTATCTCATGAGTTTCATGGACTTCCCATGGATTTTCCGTCTTCTTTTTTCCTCATCCAAGGACATGCTTATTGATCTTACAGAGAGGGAAAGGGAGGGAGAGAAACATGGAATCGAACCCACGACTTTCAATTTATGGGACAACACTCCAAATGAGCTATAATGGCCAGTGCTGGATTTTCCTTCTTATTTCCTTGTTCCCTTCAGAGTAAATGTTGAATGAACTTCAGCAATTCATACATTATTCCTGGAAATTCTTAGAACACTGTCATAGAAATGTCGCCTTGACACTCTCAGATATTAAATCCATGTCCGAACTGGTCTGCAAACACTGAGCTGTCAGTGAACTTGTGGTTTGCCCCTCCTTCTCCAATTTCCTGTCAAATCCTGCAGTTCCTGCATTTACTGGGACATTACTTTAACCTTGGTTTGCTGGAACATCATCACTAATATTCCTCAAGGGTGAGTCTGATACATGCATTTAAGCCTGAGTTCTCCAAACGTGAGGCAGGGATCATTCTAGGCTTTTCCCAAGCATCTTGAGCACAAGGATTTGTGGGAACTATCTCGATTCGGGGTCAGACTTTAAGTGTTGCAAGAGAGTAATACATGCCTTGCATTTCTAGAGAAATTTTTACACCCAGGGGATTTCAACACATATAATGTCATCTCATCCTATTCTCAAGTAAGATCCTTAAAGTAGTAGTAATTAGGGAAATTTAAATTAAACCCATAGTGTGGTAAGATTTTTGCCTGTAAATCACGATAGATTTATTTAATGCTATTATCCACTCCTGAAAAACCTATAAAAAGTTGGCACTCTCACGTACTGCCAACTGGCCTCATTTCCTGGAGGGTAATTTATCTCTCTGGATCCAAGTATTAAAAATGCATTAACAAGAGGAACTCCTGTCTAGGATGAGAGAAGAGAGAGGCAAGAGAATTCTACTGCCCACCGCCCCCCCCCCCCCGCAAAAAAAAAAACCCTATAAAACTGAACAAAATTGTTAAGTTTTTAGAATAAGAATCATTATTGCAGAGGTCTGAACATTGACCAAAGGCAAACAGAAAATTGATAACTATTTATGAAAAACTGCTGAACTTTGGTGGGCATTCATCACACACTCACACACCAAGGTAGATGTTATTATTGCTATTGTTTGGAGTAATACAAGTTTGAAAGAAAACTGAGTCACACATTAAGGGATGAGGTTACATTATTATCTCCATTTTAGAGACTGGAAAACAAGAACTGGACATCAGAAAGGTTGAAATATGGCAAAATCACACAGTCAGGAAGATGCAGAACCAGAATTTAAACTTCATGAGAAGTAATCATTGTTATGAGGTCATATCCAGAATCTTCTGTATTGTTTGTGTGCTGACCTTCTTCGGAAGTGGGGAAATAATAGGTGTTGGCACAAATGGATTTATTTTAGTGCCGGTAGCAAAGTAACACAAGTTAAAAGAAATGGTGTGTCCCTTCCAACAGCTTGTCCAGTAGGTATTTGGCCTACTTTCTCTCCTCATGGAGTTTGGCTCTTTGAAAAGGTGATTTTCTTTCTTTCAGATTTAGACCTTAATTTGGATTTGAGTAAGTGCAAGCCACAGTGCTCTGCTCATATAAAGGGCTTAACACAAATGGGTCAAGTGGATTTGTTGCTGGATTTGAGGCAAAAACAGCAAATGTTAAACATAAATATAAAAACACATTTCTTTTGGAATCCAAATGCTCCAAACACTAAAATACCTGTTTGAGTATATCCAACATCTTATAACGCCTTTTAGGAACCAGGCACTAGAATTATGTCTTTGTGCAACGTGAGCAGCTGGGGGAAGTTACAACAGTTAGTAGTTCATGAATCCAGTGTTGTTACGGTCGTCAAACCCAGAACACTCAGCAACAACAATACCGACTTTTATGCCAGGCACTGTGCTTAGTATTTCCTATGCCAAGCCCTAGGAAATTCTCCTTCCCATTACCCTACAAGGAAGATACCACTTTTATCCCCTTTTTATAGATGAGGAAGTTGAGGTTTAGATACAGTAATAACCCAGTCAACTGACATGGCCAGCCCTAGGCATAGCTGGAATTCAAAGTCGGATTGTTGAACTCATAAGTTGGATAGTAGACTCTATCTGTCAGACTCTAAAATCTCCCCTCTGAGGATCATGGTCGTAGGTATCCCTGCCTCTTTGAAAGTTTATATCAACTAATTGTCTTCTCAGAATGTTCTCAAAGACCTCCAAAGTAGTAATGAATACAGCATCTGTTTATTATACCAATTTCAGCTAACGTCTCTAAGCATGAAGGAGGTACCTGCCTACTGAAGTTAAAAGGTTGAACTGACTGGTAAGGATAGAACCAGAAACACTGAAACTCCGTTCATTGATTCAACTCAGATTTCCAGATAGCGACGAAGGTGACAGGCTTTTTACTAAGCCCTGGGGATCTGAATTGGACTGGACTTGGTCCTGACCTTGAGGGGCTCATGGTTGGCTGGCAGATATAGGAGCTCAGAAAACAAAGCTGAAGACGGCATCCGATGTGTCACGGTGACCACAGGATGGTGTCTCCTAGTTTCAACCTCTCACAGGGCGTGGGCGTGGACCATCCAAGTAGAGTGGACCCTGGCTACTTGTACGGCTGCAAATTCCTAATAGTGAATGTCAGCTTTGAAAAATAATTTCTGGGAGAGTGAGAAAGCCTGAAAGCAAGGTAATGTTCAACAATTCATACTGAAAAATGAATTGCATTTACTAAGTCAAGGAAAGCCAAAAGGACATCCTGGGAAAGAACAGCATGAGCAAAGGAAAGGCCAAGACCCCAGAAGGTACCCGCCAAATGGATGGCAGGGAGGCTGGGAAGTGGGTGCTCAGTGGGGGTGGTAGGAGACAAACTGTAGGTCAGCGACCAGAGGAATGTTCTCAAGGGCCTCAAACATCACAGTGAGTGATTTGACCTTCCTTTATATGGTTGGCAGTTTGGAGCCTTCGTGGTATATTTCAGCAGAAAAATGATATATAAATATAAACTGGTAAGAATTATTAGACATTCCATACTCTATCCCTAAAAATGCAGATATTCATCTCTGAAAATGGCTCAGTCACTCATTCCTTGAATATGTTCCAGAACAAGCAGCTCATCTTCTTAGTCTAATTCTTTGTCTGTGATGCTTTGTGAGTGAACATCCATGCACTAGCTCTTCGTAATGAGATAGATGGTCAACCCCTGTTTTACATGCTGAGCTTTCAAAAGTTTGAAATTAGCTAAATTCACTCAAAAAAACCCCTGGGCGACCTGATTTACAGCTCCTGCCACCGTCTTGATTGCTCTCCTCCTGAAGGTATTGAATGGTACTTCAAGTTATTGACATTCCTTTGGTGCCCAGGGCTAGACGATAGACATTCCATGCTGTCCAGCACATGTCCACTCTTCATCAGGATGCTCTCCTTCAGCCTCCGTTCTTGTTAATCACTACAGCAGAAGTGTTTAATATTGGATTATTACAAAATTAATGAAATGCTCATTGTGAAATAAGTGGTACAATACATGTAAAGTCAAAAGTGTAGCCCTCTCTAGTCCCACTGTCCAAAGATAACTAGCATGAACTGTATGTCCTTCTAAACTTCATCCATATATTAACACATGTGATTGTGCCATTATTAGAATTTAATTAAGTTTTTAAACATCTGCTAACACAGTCTCTACAGGCTCTCTGTCCCCCACTCCCCTGTTATTCGAGAGCCTTGCTGGTTCTGTAGCTAAAGGTAGTGCTTTATTATTATTATTTATTGAACCGCATCATGCTTGTTTGGACCCATTCTCCCAACGTATAGTGGTCTCTCTGATTCTTTGCTTTGTATCACCCACAGATTTATTAAGTGAGTTCAGCAGCAGAACCCTGGTGGCCCATCCCTATTAAATCCCTTCAGTGTCTTTTCCACAGCCCTGCTGAGCTTCCATTTCTCATCGTAAAGCTGAGGGTGATTTGATGGTCTTTGAGATCGCTCTCTGATTTAAAAGTCTTTGAAATGATTTGAGTTGTGGCATGCCCCGCTAAGTCACCATCTAGCAGTAGCTAAAGCTTTACAACCTGGGAGAGCACACATTTCCAAGACCCACTGCAGAAGACAGTTATCCTGGGAAGGCATCAAGGTCAAAGCAAACAGCTCTGATGAAATTATTCAGGCTTTGCCTTTGAAAGATGGGGCACAGCAAGGTCAACCAGATGTGAAAGCAATGTTTGCATCAATTCTGAGGAGAGGGACCGGGCTTAGCACTGTTTCCAAGTTTCAAGGGCTGGATATATCTTGTCCTGGAGGGGGAGTTTGATCTTTAAAAAAAGATCGAAGCTGTGAGTTGTAACTGTGGCTCCAGCTTCCATGAAGTTTAGCTGGAAGTTAGTAGCTTCTGAAAGTGACTTAATTGCTTGGCTGGGCCATTCTTTTGGATAGGAATCTTCACCGAACCAGCCTCGTGAGGCTTTTCCTGCAGTGGAATTCTGCACTATCTCAGAAAGCTTGTCCTCACTTAACCCCACCAAAAAGGAGAGCCCCGCACAGCAGGGCAAGGAGAGTCTTGAGGTGTAATTAATATGAATACACTTTAGTTATTTGGCTGAAATACATTATGGGAATCATTTTCATTTTTAAATGATTTAATTTTCTAGTGCAAAGGATTAAGCAGCTCCTAATTTGATTTCTCAAAGGCATATTTCTCAGGGTTCTGCTAACAACCTGAAGCTGCCGTTCCTCTCCGTCACGCCATGTCACAAAAGGACATGTTGCAGCACCCAGCCTTGATGGAGTGTGGGGAACAGAACTTCAGAAGGGCTTTTAGGAAGAGGGCAGGTGATGGGAAGGGATGACAAGTGAAGCTACTGGAACAGAAGGTGTCTGAGCATCATTTGGCAAGAGCAAGGGTTCTGGAACCCGACTGCTGTGTTCACATCGCCACATACCAGCTGTGTGACTTAGGCAATGTTACTGAACCTCTCTGTGCCTCCTTCTCATGTGTGAACTGGGGGTTGTAATAACGCCTTCCTCAGGGGCTTTTGTGCATGCCACAGGCATTAAGACATGTGAGATTCTTAGAACAGCACCTGACTTATAGTAAGTCTCAATAAAAGTTTTATATATAGTGTATACGGTATATATTTATTTAGAATACATATTCAAATATTAATGAGACCTTCACACCCATCAGGATGACTATTGATTAGGTTTCTCCAGAGAAACAGAATCAATAGATATGTGTATAAAATAGCTATTATATATAAAGCTTGTACATCTGTCTATTGTAAGGAATTGAGTAACATGATTATAGAGTTCAGTGGGACCAAAATCTGCAGGGCGAGCCAGCAGGTTGGACCCAGGAGAGCTGACGCTGCTATTCTAGTCCAAAGACTGACGGGCTGGAGACCCAGGAAGAGCCAACGATCTGGCTTTGGCCCAAAGCCAACTGCTGGAGAATTCCCACTACTTGGGGGATGGAAGGTGTTCTTGCTCTCTGCAGACTTTCCCCTGATTGGATGAGGCCCATCCTCATTATGGAGGGCAATATGCTCTACTCTAAATCTATGAACTCAAGTTTATTTCTCTTCCAAAACATTCTCACAGAAACACCCATAATAACATCTGACTGACTATCTGGGCACCATGGTCCAGCTACATGAATACATATTAACCATCACAGCTCGTATTTAAAAAAAAAACAAGCATTGGCAAAGATGTGGAGAAACTGGGATCCTTGGGCACTGCTGGCAGGAATATAAGGCAGCGCAGCTGCTGTGGAAAATAACATGGCAATTCCTCCAAAATGAAACAGAATCATTTGCCCAGCAATTACCCGTCTGAGAATATACACAAAAGGACTGAAATCAGGGACTGGAACAGATATTTGCACACCCATAGCAGCATCCTTCACAACAACCAGAAGATAAGATCACCCCCAAATCATTTGTACCCCTAATCTCTACTCCGATCAGGAGCAGGGAAGCTACCGGCCTTGGACCGTCAATCTGGCAACAGCCACAGACGTGCAAACCCTGATAATATGATGAATAATAATGATAATACTCATACAAAATCTGGCCTCATTGTGTAACAGAAACTTATAGTTTCCGTGTATTAATTTGTCTCAATACTCACAACAGTCCTATGAGTTAGATATTGTTATTATCACTCCAATTTACAGGTGGAAAAACACTGATTTATTCTACCAAGAAAATGGCAGAATCTGGGATTTCAACCCAGACAGTCTGACTCCAATTTCCATGCTTCTCACCACCGTACAGTAGTCTCTGAAGGGGTGTAGAAGGGCGAGCCCCAGTTTGTGACTCCAGAGTGTCTGTGAATCCACATGGCAGGCAAGCACAATCTGTAACACATGTATAATGCCAGAGACATGTATGCACGGATATTTTTCAGATGTATAGAGATGTTGTCATAAAGAAGAAAAACATCAATTTAAAAATGCTAGATATATTGTGGCTTTTACTCATTATGCAGTTTCTTGATCACAGACACACAGGAAATGTCAAAACCCACAGTGAAATATCTGATTACAGTCTTCCTGGGCCTTATTTTGACGCACTGACAGATTTGCTTTTCCCTAATATTTTAGAGAAACATAAATCAAAGAAATAAACAAGTGCAAATTCTAAACGAAGGTGACTTAAAAACTTTTGTTGTTGTTGTTGAAACGTGCTATCTGTAGGGGAAATGTGCACATACCACGCAGGAATCACTGGGTGAATTTTCACAAACTGAAACCACAGGGCTGCCAGCACCCAGATCAAAAACAAGAACATCACTGGCACTCCAGGAGATTCTCCTTGCTTCTGCAAGCACTGGCCAGCTCCCCTCAAGTGCAGCCATTTGTCATGGGTATAACTGTGTCACTCAAAGAGATGCATTGAAGTCCTGCTTCCTGGTGCCTCTGAATGGGACCTTATTTTGACATAGGATCTTTGCAAACGTAAGCAAGTTAAGATAAGGTCGTCCTGGATTAGGATGGACCTTAATCCTTGGTTTTTCAGCTTTTCTTTCTAGGAAAGTCTGATAAACTTGCTACAGAGTTGAATTTTCTGTGCTATTTCTCAGCTTATCTTTCTGGGAATGTCTGATAAACTTGGTGCAAAGTTGAATTTTCTGTGCTTTCATATACTGGTTCAATGACATAAATTTATATGCAATAATAAACAAAAAATGAAAGTCTCTATACTTCAAAAGATGGGGAGCTATCGGAAAGGGGATTTTATGAGTTTGCTTGGGCTGCCATAACAAAATACCAGAGACCAGGTGGCTTTAAACAACAGAAATTTGTTTATTCTTGGTTCTGGAGACTGGAAGTTCAAGATCAAGTTGTGGGCAGGGCTGACGTCTTCTGAGGCCCCCCTCCTTAGTTTGCAATGGCCACCTTCTCCCTGTCACCTCACACACATCCCTGCTGTGTCTCTAGGTGCCCCAATCTCTTTTTCTCATAAGCACACCAGTCAGATGGCCCCAGGGCCCACCCTAACCACTTAACCACCCGTCTTTACAGACCTACCTTCAAATACAAGCACATTCTGAGGTCCTGGGGATTAGGGCTTCAAAATACACACTTTGGTAGGGGGGACACAATTTAGCTGATGATAGTGACTTATATTTATTTTTATGTTCTACGGTCACTCTCACCTCACCATGGGGGTCGTTTGCACAGGGAAGGTTTAGACAGTGAAGTCTGAGCCCAGGAGATTATTGGTGGGCAGCCCCAACACGGAGACTGTCTCCCAGGTCACAGGGCCTGTGGTCTGGTTCTCCCTCCTTCCTTCCTTCCTTCCTTCCTTCCTTCCTTCCTTCCTTCCTTCCTTCCTTCCTTCCTTCCTTCCTTCCCTCCCTCCCCCCTCCCTCCCTCCCTCCTTCCTTCCTTCCTTCCTTCCTTCCTTCCTTCCATAAACGCTTCTTCACTCAAGGAGTCTTTGCTGGGTGCTCACCCTGTGCCAGGCAGTACGCTTGGCACTAGAGCTAGAGAGACGAGCCCCAGGGGAGCTCACGGTCCAATGGGAGAGGAAAGAGTACAGCAAGAGGCTTCCGGGCAGCAAAGAGTGTTATGACACAGCCAACCACAGGCTGCTCAGCCTCGGCTCTCAATTCTCTGAGAACTGCCCCTTCTGGTGCACAGGGCTAGGACCTGGCAATGATGCAGGACAGTGATCCTGCCAAAGGGTCGTACCACATGGGACAACTGTCTCGCTGGGTGCGTTATGGTCCCTCACCTTTGGAGTTGTGGTTCATGGATGCTCGTCAGTCTTTGCTGACCTCTTGAACCAAGGGCTTGTGAATTTGGGAGCAGTGGGTGGTCATCTTCTGCTGTTCCTTAGAGAGGCACACAGCCAGGATGTAAACAGAAGGGAATATAACTCACTCTCAGAGAACTGCAGACAAGCTACTACATGAAGAGGGAGACAGAGAGGAATAGAGGGGGGGGAGGGACAAGTGGAGGGAGAGGGGCCCAGGGAGACTGGCACCATCGTGCAGTGGACTGGAACTGAGACAGGGGCGTGGAAGTGCTGGGCGTGATGAGAAAGCAGTTGGAAGTCCAGTTTAACTGGGGCGCAGATGGTGTAGGAGAGCAATTGAGAGGGAGGGCTGGAAAAAACACCGGGTGCCTCCCAATGGCAGTGTGATCGTTAATTTTGAGTGTCAATATGACTGGGCCATGAGGTGTCCAGACACTCGGTCAGCATTCCTCCCAGTGTTTCCATGGGGATGCTTTTGCATGAGTTGAACATTTAAATCAGTGGACTGCCCTAGCTGGGTAGCTCAGTTGGTCAGAGCACCGTCCCGATGTGCCAAGTTTGCAGGCTCGATCCCCAGTCAGGGCACACACAAGAACCAACCAGTGAATACATGAGTAAGTAGAACAAATCGATATTTCCTCCTCTTTCTCTTTCTCCCTTCCTCTCTCTCTCTCTAAAATCAGTAAATAAGTTTCTTAAAAAGTCAGTGGACTGACTAAAGCAGATTGTTCTCCCTAATGTGGATGGGCCTCATCCAATGAATTGTTCTTGAATAGAACAAAAACTCTCACTTGATTATGGAGGCTGACAAGTCCCAAGATGTACAGGATGAGCCAGCAAGCCTGAGACCCAGGACAAGCCATTGTTTCCACCAGAGTCAAGGCAGGAGAAGCTGATGTACCAGTTCAAAAGCAGTTGGGTGGGAGGAATTCTCTTATTTTGAGGATTGGTGGCTTCCTCCTGCCCTCCACCCTTGCCCTTACCACATACTATCTATTCCCCATCTAGTAGCCAGAATAGTTAAAAAAAAAAATAATAGTAAGGTAAGAGTGTCACCCTGCTCAAGACCCCCATTGGCTTCCTGTCACACTCAGGACAACATCTAGAGTCCTTACTGTGACCTTCGCGGTCCCACACGATCTCACCTGTCCCCCTCTGTGACTCCCCTCTGCCCCGGCTCCCCCTCCTCCAGCCACACTGGCCTCTTGGCTTTTCCACAAACACACCAAGCTCCTCCTCCCCCGAGGCCCTTTGCACAGTACTTGTCATTCCCTCTGCCCAAGCGATCGGCATGGTTTTTTCCTCACCTGCAACCAGGTATCTCTTCAAAGGTCCTTCCAAGAGGCCTTCTCTGATCCCCCTATCTAAAACAGCTCCCTTCGTCACTTAAAAAAAAAAAAATTCTCACCTGAGGACATTTTTTTATTGCTTTTAGAGAGAGTGGAATGGGGAGAGAGAAAGAAAGAGAAACATCAATTGCTTGCCTTCTGCACACACCCCGACCAGGGATCAAACTTACAACCTAGGTATGTGCCTGACTGGGAGTTGAACCTGGAACCTTTTGGTATATAGATGATGCTTCAACCAACTAAGATGCACTGACCAGGGCACCCCCCCTTTTCATCACTTTTAATCCACTTACCTCTCCCTATATTCTTCATAGAACTTGATTTACTTGAAACTATATATACATTTGTTTGTTTCTTTTATTTCCCCAGTGGAACGTAATCTCCACAAGAATAAGGACTTTGCTCACTCCTGTATCCACTGCTTTTAAGAGCAGCAGCTGGTGTAAAGCAATTGCTCAATAGACCTTTGATGAAGGCAGCTTCCTTATTAAGGGTGGTACCCGTTTTCCTTGGCTCATCTCTGAGTCTTGATCATCTTAGCATGGTGCCTGGCCTGTGAGAGGCATTTGGGGAATACATATGGCAGGGGTAATTGCTTGTATTCCTGCTATTTCTCTCCTTGTTTCTCTTCTGCTCTAAATTATAAACTCTCTGAGGCAAGGACCACCTCTTTATGTCCCACATCGCCTATCGCAGAGCTTTGTGCATTGCAGGCCATAAATGTTTTGAAGTCGATTGAATTGTGTCTGCAAAGCGGATGGTAACAGCTATGCACCTACACGGCACTCCATCAATATTTTTAAATTGCTACTGAACATTTCCATTTAAACCTTCCATTAGTGGGTTCATTATGAAGAAGGAACACACACATTAAACAAAAGAATGACCACTTGGGGAAGATCTGACCCTCATTTTGATTCATCGGATGATTTTATGTACAGCATTAGCAACCTGCTATGTGACTGTGCCACAATTATTTTGTTGAATACAGGATTGGATCCACTTACGGTGTGATTGGGTTCTGCCTAAAGTGCCACTTCTGCCATCTTTAAAGCTGCATCTTCGAACTATCATTTCGGGACATCTTGTTTCAGAAAGTTGCATCTTCGGTGAAATACAATAGCCTTGATGAGAAGCACTTTGGAAATAAGCAAATGAAGGAGAGAAGAGACTTTTCTTTTTGATCCGAAGGTCACAAGAGAATGAAATTGTCAAACACTTTTGCCCTCCTGAGAGAGCTAGAGTGCTGAGCTTAAACTGTTTCATTACAGAGGGAACTGAAGAGTGGAAAGGAGAGGAGGGAAAGAATGTTACTGTTATTTAGTTAATTTCCTGCGGAAGACTCCAAGCATGCTGCCCCAGTGAGCTGGAGCTGCCGTGTCCATCAGGAGCAGGGCCTAGTTTCACCCACACGCTCACCTGCATATGCAAAGCTATGGAGAATTTGTATTCTCTCTGATTCTGGGGAGATCAAATTTAGAAACAGAATAAAGAGCGAAATTTCTAGAATCTAATAACTCCCATTATAAGCCAAAGGCAAAATGTTAGCTCAGGGCGGCGTGATAATGAAGCTGGTCATTAGCAGCTAGGAAACACCATTGCAGCAGATCCTGCTCTGGCGAACCACATGAAATTGGTGGGAAGATTACAGATTGCCAATTCATCCTGCTCTCGCTGATCTGTCGCAGAGAGAGCAAGGACTGGGGGTAGTCGCTGGCTGCCCGTTCATGGCAAAACAAAAGAAGCTGAGTAAAGCAGAAAAGAATCTGTAAAAATCTGGAAACAATATGAAAGGGTGATTTTTTTTAAAAGGTGGTTGGATTCTAAGGCACAGGTAGCAAACACAAGGTCCGTGGGCCAAATCCGGCCCTCCACCTTATTTTATCCAGCCCAGCACCTTGTTTTTACCCCTGGGAGCACCGAGCTCTCCCTTAACTGTTAAGGAATAGTTACATTTATACGGTCCTAACATTACATGTGGCCCTTTGAAGGCAACTGCGAGGCTGATGTGGCCCCTGTTAAGGGATAGAGCAGTATTTCTCATCCATGAGAAATACATGTGCCCATTCCTTTGAAAGGAACACACTATCACCACCCTCCCCCAAAAGAGATTTATGTCCCAGAAGAACCTAAATGTTTGTGCTAAATGGCTATGACTTATATACAAAGAGAAGTTTGATCATTATCCTTACAACTAATAAAGTTTTTACAGCTTACCATGGAACACGTACTACGTTGTTAAAATTCTGCTAGAACACACAGAATCCGGTTTGAAAAATACTATATTGAAGAAGGTCTGGCTTCAGTCATCTTTAACTTCTAGCATACGGTCACTAGCTTCTACCTGACATTTCTAGAATAAGCCTAAAAATATGTTAACCCTTAGTTAGAGGTAAAAAAGGAAAATGCATACAAATTTCATGCGTGTCTTTAACACAACTTTGCTTCTATTTCTGTAGGTCATGAAACACCAGGTTTCACAAGTCTGTCTTCCCCCCAGAATGATTGGTTGAGTTAGCATTCCAGGGGAAACCCCTCAACCAATCAGAACCCTCGAGGATGCCTGCTACCCTGGAAATTTGGCCATCACACTCTATGGACTAAGAGTGAAGGTCTGTAAAACGCAAAGGTATAAAAAAAGAGAAGTGTTAACTACTGAATAATATTCAGGAATTTTGCGAGCCGGTTGTTAACCCAATGGTACTTTGGAATCTGCTGTGATAGGAACATCTATTCTACACCGTGGAAATTGGCACACGCCACATAGCTCGACTTTTTAAAAAACTATTATTGTTTAAGAGCCATTTTAACAGCCCACCCACCTCCACAGGAGGATTTTTGGAGACTTGCAAAACTAGTCTGTTAGGAGCTGGCAAGGTAAGCCCGGGAGCCCAGGATAACCAAGCAGCATGTAGTGGTTAGAAGTGTTGGCCTTGGAGCCAGGCTGACGAGGTTTGTGGCCACTGGGAGCGGTACGAGCCCAGCCTGCTCATCTACCCACGCCTGAGTTTCCTCGTTTGTAAAACGGGATGATGAGAGTCACCTCATGTGTTTGTGGTGAATAAGTAAAACAAAGTGCATACCTGTAATTTCACTAGAGACAGGCCCTGGCACACGGTAGCTGTGCAGGAGGCACGTGTGCAGTGAACGCTGAGCGAGTGCAAGCACACACCGTTAGCCCCGTGGCTCAGAGACCCCTGGGTCCCAGCCGCTTCTTACCTACTTCTGACCGCTCCCGAGGTCTCACCCCGCCCTTCTGTGCCTGGTCTTTCAGCTCCCCTTTGCCTGTTCTCTATCTCCTCTGCCCCTACCTCCCCAGTCCATGACCTCTGAGGCCATGGTGGGGGTGGGGGAGTGGTTAGCTGGGTGGGGTGGGGTGGGACTGAATTCACCTCACCTGTAATCAGTAAGTTGAACAAGCACAGCTTGTGACATAATCAAAACACAGTTCTATATTTGTCTCCCACTATTCCTTTAAAAGTGATTCAGTGAACGATCTGGTAGTTCCTCGAAGGGTGGAAACAGAGTTGTATGATCCGGCAATTCCACTCCTGTTACCGAACAAAGGTCCAAGGCGGGGGGGCAATATTTGGGATGCCAAAAACTGCTACAGAACAGCAGGGGCCCCTCCCAAGGATAGTATACTAATACCTACTGGGCTTGTCTGTCTGCTGCCAATTGGAAAGACATCTCTCAATGCCAGAGACTTGTGAAAAAGAAAGGAAAGGTTTATTTAAAGCTGTACAGACTTAAAGTAGTGACCGGTTGTCCCCATTAAAATTTCAAAGTCCTTTAGGATAACCACAGACGCCCACAGCACTTCCTTCTCCCCCTGCCCTAATTTGGGGTACCATACCTCAGGAAAAGAAGAGCACGTCTGTGTTTCAGGATGCTGACACCTTCAGCTATGTCGCCGTACAGGCAGAATCTCCAGTTAATCCAAAATCACGTGGCACCTTCTCACGGTCCACTGGCAAGAGTTCTTTGTACCAAGTTCCAGTCAAAGTCTCTCCTGCTTTCCAGGCCACGCGGCCAAAGGGCGCACCCCAAAGCCATGTGGGCCTCTTCTACCAAAGCTGCAGGGGTCTGCACTCCACCAAAAACATGTGTCTTCTTCACCTGGCTGCAGGTATATCCATTCTGGCAAAGCTGCGTGGTTTTCCCTTTCACCTGGGAAAGAGGGGGTCTGCACTCTGCCCACAACTGCATGGCTCTCTCTCTTTCACCTCACCAAGAGAGGATCCTTACTCTGCTGAAACCATGTGGCTCTCCCTTTCACCTGGCTGCAGGGATCTTCACTCTGCCCCAGACCGCATGGTTCTCCCTTTCATGGCTGCCGCATCTGGGTTTAAATCCCCACGCCCATCCCCCTTTGCAGCCCCATTTTCAATTCCTCCTACAATCAGTTACACCTGCCAGTATTTCTGTATTATTACAAGTTTACTGGGCTGCCATCATTAGTCTGGGCAGGTGTGGCCCCATGGCGTGGAGCCAATCAACTCCAAGCTCTCATACAGGCGCTATAACTTGGGGGATCTGCCCCCAGTTACATCTTGAGTGGAAGTCACTCCCTTCTCCCTGGCTCAAAGCATGGCCACAGCTATTTAACATATCTGTGAAACCAGTTAAAGGTTATAGATGTATTAAATGACCATGCCAGAGGTTAGCTGCAAAACTGTTGCTATGCAAAACAGCTCTCAATGGCCCTACTCCATTTGTCCCTTCCCCCTGGGGAGGGGGGGGGTGAGGATATCTTAATATTTCCTGGACACCCTGAGCTCTGGACTCCATTCTAAATCCTTTTTGGGGGGCCCCCTTCCTGGCTGTACCCTGTTACACTCCTAGATAGAGACCCAGGGGAAATGAAAAAAAAACAACTGTTTAAACAAAAACTTGTATACGAGTGTTCACAGCAACATTATGTATAAAAGCCAAAAAAAAAAAATGGAAACAACCCAAATGTTCATTGCTGGATAAATGGATAAACAAAATTGGTACATTCATGTAACAGAATATTCTTGGGAAAGAAGTGCTGATTCATTATATAACACAGACAGAGTGCTCTGTGAAAGAAGCCACTTACAAAATACTATATAATATGATTCCATCTATGTGAGGTGCGGAGATATGCAAATCTATAGAAACAGAAAGTAAATGAGTGGTTGTCTAGGATTTGGGGCCTGGGGAAATGGAGTAACGGCTCATGGATGTGGGGTTTCTCTTTATGGTGATGAAAATGTTGTAAAACTGCTTGTGGCCATTGTAACTTGGAGTGACTTCTCTGTCCTCCGGAGGGATAGAGGAGACTTGCACAGTGTCACCTACACAGGGCCTGCCCGTGGAACCTTCTCCACAAATCCTCTCTCACACATTCTGACCCCATTTCATATCCTTTTCTGGTTCAGGGATTCAAGGGCCACAGGATTGTTCTCGGAGATTTGTTTGGTTAGCTCTGCATCAGTAATGTGACCCCATGGCCTTGAGGCACTGAAACATCTGGTCATGGTAAGGACAAACACCATGCTCACTCGTCACCTGGCTTGGTTCCTGGGCAGTCCCCGCTTTCAGGGGATGGGCCTGCCCAGCAGAGCCCTTTAGACCATGGGGAGAGACCTAGAAACTCTGCTGCCTTCTTGACAAGTGAGCCACAGATGTTCCTGAGCCAATCTGCGCCTTCCACATGGAGAAACAGTGGGGAGGCTAGCAAGCAAATCAATTAGCTCCTTTACCCATGGCTCACAGTAACTTCGGAAGGGTAGTGGGCAAAGAATTTAGTGTACAGACCCAGGGCACAGGAGAGTCCCAATACTCTTCATGTCTCAGAATCAAATATAATCAGCTCTAAGCTCCTCAACCTTCCTGTGGCTGGTGGGAGACCTATTGGGAACGCAGTACTGGTATGTGGGGGGCAAACCTCTCTTTACCTTTCCATTGGGTAACTCTGGGGTTTGGAGACCAGAAATGGGGGTAGGAGGCAATTCACGGCACCTTCGTGGTCACCGACCTCACCACAGCCTCTTCGTGCCGCGTCTGCTGAGTGCTGGTCTTCACCATCCATCTCCTGGAGGCCTCTCTGCAGGTGGGCCCAGATGCACCCTCCCAGGAGTAGCCCCCACAGCACGGGGACGTGGCCTCCTGCAGCCGTCCCCCAGTCTGCCTCAGGGACCCCATCGCCACACTTCTCCCCGTTCTTGGATGACCACTCCCCCCTTCCGTGTCCTGAAGCCCTTTTGTTCACCACAGATTCCCTGGCGGGTCTTTAGAAATAAATCTATTGTTAGCTTTGTTTCCTGGGGGTGGGGGGCAGATGGTGTTGATGCTAGCTAACTTATTAGTCTTGTGTCGGTTTTTTAAAAAATAATTTATCCTGTTACAAAATCCCAATAAGCCATGAGACTCGGCACCCAGACCCGTGACGGTTCAACAGAATAATTCTGGATGTGTGGACTCCTGGGTGTGGGGTCTCCACCGTAGGGGATCAAACCATAGATAACAAATAAAGCCTATGAAAGAGACAAAGCAAAAGGACCACCTTCTGCTTTCTCTCCAGTCAAATTCTCCACGTTCCTGGAGGCCCTGTCTGTGGGACGGTTGGCATTGGCCCTTCTGAACACCTTCACTGGCCCCTCTCCCTGGCCCATCGGGCTGTGTCCTTCTGTTATCCACATGCCCCCAGAGGATGCAAACATCTTGTTGCTCAAGCCACTTCAACACAGTTCCCAGTACAAAGCCAGCTCTTCAGTGAAGTAAATTTCAGACTTAGAAGTTTCTGTGCAAAGAGCACGATGACTATTGATTTGTATTCCCTGAGGAGGACACTAGACAAGCCATTGCCCCACTTATGTTTTATTAAAAACCCTCTTCTCCATCAAAGCAGGCTGTGTCCTGACCTATGCAAGCCTGCTACACCCTCTCCAGGAAACCTCACCGTCTCCCTTCCTGCCTTCCTGCCACCGGGGAGAATGAGGCCCAGCTTTTCTGCCACCCCCTCTGGGACGCCTCTGTTGACCACGTCAGTCTGAGGGGCTCTCATCCCCTCTGAGTCCTCATTTCACCTCTCTCCACCCGTCCCTGGTACTCAGTTCGCATTGGCTTTTGTTGTTTTCATGTTTTATACATCTGTCTCCTCAAGGTCAAGGACTGTGTCTCCTCCTTCGGGACTCTTATGTTCCTTCCAGTGCATGAATTTGATCATCATTGCTTTTTTGATCATTACTTAGGTATTTGGATAATATTTTGGTATTTGGATAATTATTATGATTGCTACTATTCTTAACTTGTCCAAGACATGCCATGCATCGAACATGTGTCCACATGGCATCTCCGCATTAATCCTCACAGCCACCCTAGAAAGCAGATGTAATCACTCAGCCTGTTTCATAGAGGAGGGAACAGGGGGCTCCCGGAGGCTGAATCCCCAGCAGGAAGGAGCCCAGCTGAGTCATACCTGGGCCCTGTTGGACCCCAAACCTGCACTTCCAGTTTCCAAGGGTCACGGTAGGTTGGATTACAGGGGAGAACATGGCAAGGATGGGTTACTGCTTTGTACTTCTTTTCTAGAGAACAAGTTATCCCAGGCACAACCCTGACATTCAGAAAGGGAGCTTGTCCCCAGTGAAACCGCTGGTCCAGGGCAGCGAGGCGTGTGTGTGCAGGATGCCCGGCCCCGCACACCAGCACTTCCTTCCATGCCCTGCTGCTCCGCTAGATGACAAAAATACTCCTTCTGGAAACTTAGTCTTTTTGTACTTCTCTGCTGCAGAACAAACCACCCTTTAGGAAAAACCAAAATAGTAATTTTCTGCGGAGTGGATAATCACTCACCCCAGTAAACTAAAACAACATACTGTGGTTAGAGCAGGAGAAATGTGCAAGGTCTTCTGCTTTGTTTATGTGCAAGGTCTGTTTATGTACAGAAAGAGTATACATGTGTGTCAGTGTGTGCACACTGCGTACACATACTTTCCGGTTCACCTACCTTACAAATCAGCGCCACTTCTGGTCCGGCCACCCACCCGCTGCTGCTCTGAACTCCTTTCACAGACCAGTGCAGAGCCACATAGAATCTGTGTCTGTGACTATTATTTACAATCTTTAGTCTTAAAAATCCACATCCTGGAAAACTTTGGAACAGTGTGGCATTGACAAGGCATGAGGGAGGCTGGCTGAAGGGAAGGGGAGGGAGACAAGTAGCCGAGTCTGTCCTCTGCCTGAAATACCCCTCCCTGCACTGTTCCCATTTTCGTGGAGAACAGGTCAATAGGCATCTACTGGATGCTTGTTTCCTGCTGGGCTCTGCTCATTGATGGAGATGCCAAAATGAGTAAGACTTCACCTCCAACCTTAAAGGCTTGCAATGACGGAGTAAACTGATAGGTCAGAAGAAACACTCTTATGTAGATAGGGAAGATGAAAGGAAGACAAAAAAGAGTTCTAGTAAAGCAATCACATGAAGGAGGACTTTTCTAGAGACAGTGTAATACACATGGGCATCAGACAGTCAGGTGCCTGGGCTCACATCCCAGCTCCATTATGGAGTTCCTGCATCTATAAGATGGGGTGATGTCCAAACTGATAGCCTGAGTCATTGTCAGGGTCAGAGAAGATACTGTCCATCAAACACTCATTGTGGCACTTGGCTGGTAGTAAGTGCTTGGTAAATCGTGGTAAAGTAAAACAGTTAGGAAATAAAATAGGTGAGTTCCCTGTAACTGGAACCACACACGGCGATGTGGAGGGACTTGCGCATCAGACCAGGACTTGGTAACTTGTTAGGCTCTAAGGCACCTTCCATCCCTGAAATGCTATACTTTTAGGAATACATCTTAAGAATCAGTGCTGTGTGTGTTGGTTCAGGGATCGGGGTGGGGGCATGTGTGGGAGAGTGAGAGGAGATACTAGAAGGAGAATGAAAGCTTAAAAT